GGTAGAAATAGATAACCCAACATGAAGTGCAGTTGTAAAGTGATTATACAGTATGAAGGTTTGTGGATGGTGTTTTATTTCCTATAAGGTACATCCATTAATGTGTCATAGGAATAGATTGCACAAATTGGTGTGGTGTCAAATGTATGAATAAAAGGAGAAAAAGAGATTATGAGTAAAAGGTAGGGAGTTGAGGTGTGTAGATTAAAGGGAAGAAGGCCAGGCTCCATGCACGATGAAAGAAAAGCATGTTTTAGAACTAGGTGAGACTACAGTAGCTATGTAAACACAGAGAACCATCACTGCTCCATACTGCATCAGTCCCCATAGCCAAGGTACATGGAGGTGCTGGCTGGGAGCCATCTGTAATAACACCATCCAAAGAAAAGTCACACACCACTTGTTCGCCATACAGTTTATTTAATCTGACAGCCACTATGCTAAAGGTCCCTGCCTAGTGGTGGCCTACCTCTAGCGCAGTTGACTTTTACCATGCGGGCTATCAGATGAAAAAAAACTACGTGTACGGTGAGCAAGCGGTGTGTGGCTTTTCTTTGGAAAGGTGAGACTAGAATCATTAATTTTAGGATGAGCTTAATGGTCAACTTGAAAAGTATAGAGGGCCTCAGGTGTGGCCCCCATATCTTCAAAGCGCACACAACAGCAGAATGTTTTTATGCGTTGGAGTGCATTGCATTGTTAGGCAGCCTATTTAAAATGAATAGGCTGTAACACATCAAACATTTCAGTCCTGCTGCATTGTACTGCAATGCATATTGAAGAGAAAGTGGGAATAAAATAAACACTTTCGTTGGTATCAGAATAGTAACTCCCAGCATTGGTGTCAGTGGCCATAATACTAGCCCCCAGGATTTGGGTAATTGGCTGCAATAATAACACCCTGCATTGGTATCAGTGACCCTAATAATAAACCCCAGCATTGGTGGTAGTGGACGCAATAATAGCCCCCAGATTTCCTGTCTGTATAATTAACATCCCCATCCCTTTTACTGATGGTCAGTAGTAGTGCTGTTAATGCCCCCCTCCCCTTGCATTGCTGGTCAGTGCTCTTAATCCCCTCCTCATCTGTCATTTCTGTTAACCCCCTTAACCCTCTCTTCCCCCACCTTGCATTCTTGGTCAGGGAAATTAATCCCCTATGCATTACTAGTCAGAGCTAACTACCAACCCGCTACTGACCTCTGGCATTGGTGGACAGTGCTCACCTGACCATATTCTCCTGTAACACTTACTTCCTCTCCACCATCCAGCTGAGACTACACTCCTACTGCCTCATTAAAAAGTGCCAGGTGTGGGAATGCAGAGAGCATCCTATCACCAAGCAGCAGGCTGCATGTTGGGCACCATTGGTATAGATGACCCAAGGTTTGTGTTGCTTGATGAAAATACCCTGCACAGCCCTGAAACGTTGTGATTATGTGATACTATGATTATGTGTCAATAAAGATGTATTGATTAAGGATTTCAGAGTGCCACTGACTCATCTTCTTGTGCTATAAAGACCAGACACAGGTGCCCAGAAATCGATTTGCTTTACCCCAGCAATCCTAAAACAAAGGAATACAGAAAAATGTTTGGATTCATGTTAGATATTATGACTTATATCATAAAATATATAGTAAATGGTGTCAGCTTTAAGAAAGCATATTGATTAGTTTATGCTCTTTAATGCAAGTGCCTAAATATTACTTGGTATCAGCCTCTTGCAATCACCGTGTAGCAGAACTGAGACGTGTACAATCAGCACAAGGTGCCAGCAAGCAGTATGCTGATAGAACAGATCAGACTGATAAAAAGATGAGCTAATCAGTCTGCTGCTTCTCCTTTCTGTCCCGTCACAGGTTTAGGGAGGAACAAGACCGATTCGTGTGGGGGGGAAAAAAAAAATCAGGTCTCCTCTCCTGACAGACAGGGCTGAGTAAATCCCAGAACTGGCTGGATAGAAACAGAAACACTTTTGCAGTTAAAACAGTTCCACTATATGTATGTTATCTGCGTATTTAGTGGTTTGCCTGGAGTTAAGCTAGCAATGTACAGTACAATTCGTATATTTTGATTTGCTTATTTAGTCTTGCACAGACTATTTTCCAATTTTGATATAACCTAAAATAGTTGTATAACCACATTCTTTCATATACCTTTGACTGCATATCTAATCTTTACTATTTGAATGGAACTGCACTTTGCACTTGCAGATTGTAAAATATTGTGTTTTGTGGAATATGGCATTTATCTATGACTGGAAACACAAAATGTGCTGCTGAGAGATTCCAAATAAAAGCAGGTAAACGGAATGGCTAAAAATAACAAGGAGAGCATCGTATTTAAAATAAGACAAAGAGGACACAGTTGAATTTGATTTTAATTCAGCAGCATAACTTAAAACACCCAGCCATTAGTGCAGTTAAACAGACCTGTCCTACCACAACAACACGTTCAACATATTGCAATAATCCTTTTACAGCAGGAACTTTATCAAAACTCTTACAAAAAAAAAGAAAGAAAACAAAACGTATTTTCAGTGTCTGAATTGCATTGATAAAACTGTGATTATAATCCATCATGTAAAAATATATATGTGTATCTGCTGAAAAACTCCCATTTTTAAAAACAACTAAGGCCACAACCCAATGTTTACTGAGGTGTTTCAATCATGGAAAACAACTGCGCTAATTTATGGTGTCCGAGAGTTTTCCGGAAACTGGAATAGCAGCTACATCATTTATTATTGCATTAGGTTTAGTATTGTAAAATCCCAAAACGTATAGCAACTTTTAAGAGGAACACAAAAATGGCATAGTCTGTCACTGGTATTACATAGTATAACAAGACAATGTCAGCTTAATAGTAGCTATATTAAGTTACCGTAACCCAATGAGCAATGATTCTGGCGCACACAAAGATATGGATGGCGAAATGATGCATCTGGGAGCAGTTGCCTTAGGCTAGCGTGATCGAATTTTGGTTATTCTCTGCAACAACTAACTGTGATTTCCCAACAACACAGCAAGATGTTGTCACTTAGGACTAACACGAATTAACAGTCATACCTCAGAACCTGTGTGCTAACATTGGCTGAAAGAGTGCAATAATTATCCATAAAATCATTTGATATCTTACAAATTGAGGATTGTAAACATGTTCTTAACATGGCAAGAATATACTAAAAAGCACTGGAATCTGCTTCTGATTCTACGGATGAATGCTTGGATGTGAAGTTTAGAACAAAGAAACATGTAATTTGATGAAAATGGTCAATGTATAGGCAAAATCAGAAGAAAGGCAACACAATATAAATAAATGTATGTGTGTATGTATGTATTTGTGTCATTTGATTTACCTATGGCCATGATGTAGTAGCAGCAGAAGGACTGTTTTAACTTCATTGCCCCAATACTGAGGATTAATAGTCTAACTATTTACTAGGTAACAAGGGAGTTGGCATGCCCTGCAGGCATTTTTTTCCCACGTTGCCGATTTCTCATGTAGGCATTCCTTTATGTACTTAAGTCTACTCTATGATGGTGCAGCTGCATGTCTATTGTTTACATGAGAAATCGGCAACTGGGGAAAAAAATGCCTGCAGGGCATGCCAACTCCCTTGTTACCTAGTAAAGCTGGCTATACAACAGTAGATCTTGCCTTCAATTCTGATTTAGCAATATCAATAAACAGTCCTTTCCAGACCACAATTTAAAGACCATACATGCAGAAACAGAAGGAATAGCACAATGACCATACACAGATGTGATCATCAAACCATAGCTACAGTTACAGCACAAGAACAGCTGATACACCCTGTTCAGTGTTCTTTTTGTCCCAAACAAAAAGGCAAATGAGGCCTAAAACATTAAATTATCATAGTGGATGCTGTATGATTTCCTAAAGTTTTTGTAGTCAACTTTTTATAAAAACTTAATGAAGCCATTTGAAGTGCAGGGTGAAGTCTGCTCTTTTACCCTGCTGCAAAAAATGGTACCAAGGGGCACAATTCTCACATTAGTCCCCACTCACACCTAGGTGTTTTGTCACTCAAAGCAAAGTGCGACAAAACGCTCAAGACCAGGAATCCTATTCGCTAGTCTTGAGTCCCATTCATTTCTATTGCCCTGTTCGCACCTGAGCATTTTGACGCACAAAGTTACCCATTTAAGTCTATGGGACCAAAAAGGTCTGTATTCTGCCAAAAAGTAGCTCATGTACTTTTTCCAGTGACAGCTGATTTTCTGCTTGCGACAAAATGTTCAAGTGTGAACAGGGGCCATAGAAATGAATGGGATTCCTTTCAGCATTTTGTCATGCTTACCTATGAGCAACAAAACACCTACCGGTACTTGTGAACGGGGAGACTTGGAGGTGTATATAGCAATTTAGAGGAAAGCCTTTTAAAGGGAACCTGTTTATTAGGAAAATAAGGGACTGCCAATGCTAATATCATTCTGAATATTGTGGGTTACATATTTTGAGTCACTTGCTCAGAACACACATGGAGCCCTGGGTTTTGACTTCACGGGTTGCATGCTTGTTCTGGATCAGTGAATTAAGCCAACCATACACTTGCGTTTTATCTTGTTCAGTCCATGAAGGGGAAGGGGGTTAGTGCTTGATGCTAAAAAGTGTGGATGGGGGAATCTTCCTTGTCAGTTTATTGTATACCGACACCTGGCAGACACAACTGTCAAGAATACCTGCCGATTAGTTGCTGCTCGGCTGACAATTTTTGGCCCAGCTCCATCGACAAAAGTCGATTGAAAAATCAAGTCAGAAGTACTTAGCCAAAATTTGAGCACTGTATGGCCAGCTTTAGAAAGTACTGAAGCTAGAGAAAGACTGACAAATTGTATTTCCAGAAGAAAACCGTCAATAAGAATACCCATTTTACTCTTGCAGGTTTCTCCTAATAACTGCACTACATTAGGTAACATTTTGGCAAATGGCAAGGGTTAAAGTTTCAGCTATGACCGCTTTTGCCCTTTGAAGCTACAAGATGTCTGAGAAGAGACAACAAATTGTGTATTTGGCTATGTCACATAGCTTTACCTAGCCATTTAACCTTTTGAGCCTGGCTTTAAACTTGCAAATACTCTGGAACTTTTGAGAGAATGAGAGAGTTCATTGAGAAAGGAAATGAAGTGGGAGTCTTTCTCTGACTTTTTTGACTCAAAAATCACAATAAGGGTAAAATGTGGCTCAGGGCGTGTCAGAAAATAAGTACTTTGCACTTTGTCATCGTAAAAGTATACGACTTTCTCCAAAGTGTTAAGATCTGCAGTTTTGTCAGTCATGATCATAATAACATTAGGCCAGTGCATAACAGGTCTGTCAGTAGGCAATGAAACCACTGCAGGATATTGGTCCACACCTTTAGGGGCTTCTCTATAAGAATCTGGATGGTGGTAGCCATGACCTTGAAAGCTTTCTGAACCTCTATTGTCAAAAATTAAGGACACATTGACCGCATCATATTTTCTTATGAAGCTGGAGATTTTCCCAAAGTAGTCTGGATTGGTTTTAGCAGTCAAGGTCTTCATTTCTGAGGTCTGCCGGCTTAAAGCTTCATGGAAATAAAAAGTAAACTTGGCGAGCAGATTATTTTTAAACTTCATGAGCCACAGGAAAAGATGTGGAGGCTGCACCGCTTTTTGGGACTGTCCTCCAAATAAATGTTTCTTGGTCTCTTTTTGCTTCTCAAATATTTGACCCCAAGTCTGTAGTTTAGTATGGGCATTGTGCAAGTTTACAAGGGACAAGAGAAACTTCCACTCAAATACCAAGCTCTGTGCTTTTAAAAGGTGTGCAAGGACATCAACTTCAAGCTGGAATCCACTTTCTAGAGGAGACAAAAGAGGATGATGAAACCTACAAAACAGAACAAAGAGAGATGTAAATACAGCCCCACATAAATCAGTCACACAGACATTTTACTTCTAAAAGGCATAATCATCATGCTTCAGATCATGTTAATTTTTCACACAATACAGCAAAATCATCAAAATGCAGAGTATAATGTGCAATGTGGTCTTACTTTTGAAAATACAAAAAAAGCCATTAGGGCTGCGACTAACAAATATCTTTATAATCAATTAGTTGGCCGTTTATTTTTTCGATTAATTGGATTTAAAAAAAACAAACAAAAAAATACACCAAACTACCATCCTTAATTTAAAATAACATACACAAATGGAGTGTTACAAGCATAAAGTTTACTTCAGAATAAAACTGCAGGCACAATTGTTCTCAATCTCACACCACTGGAACGCACTGCATTGCTTGACTGCTTTTGAGCAATAGCTCTGTAGGTGGGAGGCACGTTTGGGGTGCCATTGAAATGAATGGCACCACAATTAGGGGTGCAACAACTAATCGACATAATCGATTATAATCGATTATTGAAAAAGTTGTCAACTATTTCAATAATCGATTAATCGGCTTCCGATCAGTTGGCCCTGTTCACGGGTCCACAAAGGCTGCGCGCCGCACCTCCTCCCCAACACAATGCATCTCTCGCAGCAGAATTAGTCAGGCTGAAAACTAAAAGGGACTTTTTCCCCACCTATTTTATTTATTCATTTTTTTACTTTATGGTCAGGGGCTTTGGGGAAATATCAAAGGGCTAAACAGACGCCGGATATTTCCCTTTTGAGAGAAGAAAAAAAAATGGGAGGATTGAGTACACAGAGTCCTCATTCTTTTTTTCTGCAGCCCAAGCACTTAATGGACAGAGGCATCTTGTTCATTCCTAAATCGGGGAGATAGTAAACATATACTACGTTCACAGTCATGAATGAATAGGAAGTGATGTAGAGCACTTCCTATTCATTCATAATTGGGGACACAGTATCTCAATACTATGTTCTCAATTATTTACAAACATCATAGTGATCAGCACCGATCACTGAGATACTTGAATATTACAGGGAACGATCAGCAAATATTTCACATATTTAAAGATCGTCCCACAGCTCGCCTCCCTGCACCGCCTCCTTTTTCCTCCACACTGGGCACCAGCAGGTGCATCAGCTCAGTGTCCCCTCTGATCCTTGCAGCCCCTACCGGAGGGGACACAGACCGCAGCGGGCTCCCAGCATAAAGTAGTATAGCCGATGCAGACGGGGTGTTTGGGGAGGTTTGGTGGCTCTCTCCTCACTGCTGGGCGCGTCCTCTCTGAACCCCGCTTGGAACAGTGGGGATCGGAGAGGACACTGAGCCGACAAAACACCGGCTCCCAGTGCGTAGGAGAGAACTAGGGGACCCAGGCCAAGTACCGATAATGAGAATCATTGACATCATTAATTGATTAGTTGGTTGCAAAAGCAATCTTTCCCCTCTATTAGAAAACAGGAAAAAATAAAACACACAAACAGTGGAGCTGGTAAAAAGAAGCAACAAGGCTAGTTCTCTATATATATATATATATATATTTTATCTATATATACACAAAGTACCTACACAGAGTCCAAAATGCTGGAGCGTATGGTAAAAATTATAGTTAAAAAGGAACACTCCAACTGCAGTAAACGTGGAACATAAAACCACAGTCTGAGAATTAAATTACTGTCCTTGTATAGAGAAACCACTAATCACAAGCAAATGCAATAAAAAAAGTCAATTCCCTCTCAAATTGATTTAGAATATCTGAATGGTTACTGCCAAGTAGAATCACATGCTGATCTTTCAAATTTCTTGGGAACACCACAAAGGTTCCAAACCACAATTACTACCACCATTACAAAGTCTGTACAAAGAAATTAACTGTGATGTTTTTAAAGGAAACTGTTGATTGAGAAACAAGTCTGTTAGCATTGCAGACCTCTCCTCCTGAATACAGGTGCTAAAGTGTCAGCACGCAAATTACTTTTAATTTTGTATGTGAAAAGTAGTATACAACTACTGTCTTTAAAAAAATAAATAAAAATATTTACAAATGTTAATGCACAGTTACATGTTATTTGTCAACTTTTACCCTTTAATTGCCAAGGATGTGTCTTAGACATCACGGCCATCAAAGGGTCATAACATGCTTAAGGCTGCCGCTTTTTCCTTTACTCAGAAGTGATCTGGATGGTCCTTGTGGTAGTAATAAAATAAAAAAATAAAAATCCCTGCCCTCATATACTAATGTAAACCTATGCACACATGCGTATGTGAACTCGGATTATTAAACACATATTGGGTATCACCATGCAAGTCTAAGCAATAAAAATAAATAAATATGTGAAATAAGAACTGCATATATTGCCTATTTGAACTAGTTCACGTTTTCTCTATCAGACACTGATCAGAAGGCCGACGTTTCTTGGGTGGACAACCTGAAGCAATGATGGTCCTTACCTGGAACTGTACTTCTTTAAAATGACTTCCAAAATGTTGACCAGCTCCTCAGCATTGATGAATTTCTGACTGCTCAGAGAGTACATCTTTTCATAGAAATCCGCAATTTCCATGCGAGCCTGAACAAAAAAGCACAACTGCTCTGACAGATGGGAGAGCAGTTCTTCCAAGTGAGGTGCTGTCCCGCCAATAGCATTTCTTCCTGTTGTCCCCACTTTTTTCAGTTCATTGTATAGGGAGGTGTAATTTGTCCTGATTGAATCTTTTCTGCTGAAGAAGGACTGACCACCTACAAACAGAACACGTTAAGACTCCATTGAAGACACTGGAAATAGTTAATTGTTCTCTTTTGGTCTGTTAAATATACAATGAAAAGCATTTTGTTATAGCTATTGATTTTGTCGGAAATTCAGAACTCTACAGATTCCTTCACTCTTTGCCTGTGTTATCTCAAAGAGACTATGTAGCCCTCCCCGTTCATATCTTGGACTAAGAGTCAATTAGTACCTATGCTATGGATCATAAGACAGTGGAAGTAGTAGGTGGAAATAGTTTAGCACAAGACACTGGGCAGGGCTTTCACAACTTATGGTGGCCATACACTATATACCCTTTCGGCCAGCATCCCTCAATCAGCTGATCGACGGAGCTGGCTGGAAAATTGTCAAATGATCAGAGCGGGCAGCCAATGAGCTGTTGGCTGTTTGGGTATTCTGCTGTTAGAACACAATGAAGTAGGTGGAAGATTCCTCTATCAAAGTTCGTAAGCGTTGATGGAGGAATCTGTAATATTTTCTTCATTCATTCCACAGGTTGAATGAAGAAAATATTACAGTGTATGGCCAGCTTTGGTCCGCAAAAATGCTGTGTGTTGTCAACCCACAATAGGAAAATAAGAGCCGAGTGCATTTTTAGCAGATCGACAGGTATTTTCTGTACTTGCAGGGTCTTACAAGGGATGAATCCCGGTACAAAGAGCATGTACTACATTTTTATTTTCCATTCTCGGGAAAAGCAAGTATTGTCTAAATACAACAGTCAAGTGTATTCTTACTTGAACCTTGGTGTGCTTTGTGGATTTCTTCCCGATCTGTGCAGGAATTCAGGGTGAGACTTTTCCTCTGTAAAAGGAGCTTCCTGTAATAAAGACCAGTCACCAGTATCCACTGCCTCCTGTAGTTTTCTGCAGTGGGTGGGGTCTACTGGATCCCTCCCACAGCTCTGCTCAATGCACAGGCTATGTATAGCACAATGATGGCCTCACTGCTACTTAGCAAGAAGCGCTTCTCAGTGGTCAGCATGGTATGGTCAAAGTGGTCACCTATGAGTGCTCTCCATTTGAAAGGGTAATTTGAAATACCTAGCGCATGGCTGCGATGTTGTGTACAGTGTATGGACCATATACTGGGAGCCGCCGAGGAGAAGGTATGAGCAGCGTGAGAGGGTGCAGATTGGAGGGGGCAATTACATTTTCCAAAATTCACCTGGGAAAGTAAAATTACCCTTTAAGGTTAGCATAACCGTTTCAGAAAAATAAACAGACACTTCATGGGTTAGCCCACCCAAAACTGATATTTGTTGTCTTTGGTAGATGCTGGAGAGAAACCACCTGAAAGTTGTATGCATCTCTTGGGGACTCTTTTGGTAAAAATATCCGTGTTTTAGTTACTAAGTCTACACTTATGGGATCCAACTATCGCTGTATTTTTTATTTAGTTTACATAGTTACATAGTATTTGAGGTTGAAGACATTAGTCCATCAAGTCCAACCTATAGGATCTCATTCTTAAGGTGCCCATACACTGCACGATTCTCGTACGAGAATCGCAGGAAATCCCACAATCGTACGAGAATCGTGCAGTGTATGGAAGGCGTGCGGCCGTTTCTACTGTACGGTCGCACGTCTTCCGTCGAACCAGCAGGCTGGAAAACCCGCCGGGAATCGTACGATTCTCGGCGAGTTAGTGGCCTGCTGGTTGGCAACTGCCAAACGGCCGGTGTGCGCACGCGCACACAGCCCGTTTGCAGTCATCTTAAGGGGCGGGCTTGCGATGATCGAGAGTACGATCTGCCTGTCCAAGATGGGCAGATCGTACGTTTTTTTAATCACTTTAAAACCAATCGCAAGACTAAGGTCGTACAGTGTATGGCCACCTTTAGGAGTACTTGTACCCCTGTATATTACGGTCCCTTAGGAAATCGTCCAAAAGTTTCTAGAAAAAAAAAAAATGCAACAAATGAATTAGCCAACACATGAGGAGGCCAAAGGGTGAATAAACCCCGCACCCCCTCCTCCATGTTCCACTAGGCACACCCAACCTCAAATATATTGAATCTGACCTCTCCCTAAAACTGCCCATACACCTTGTGATCATCGGACAAAACTTTTCATCGGATGATCAAACCGTCATACGATTTTCGTACGGCGGCCCCATCCTGCCCCGATTATCGCAAGGTTGAATCAGCAGTAATTCATAGAAAAGCACCTGGACGAATTGCTGTAATCGACAGCACGTATTTTCGTCTGCGCATGTGCGGTGTAAATCGTACGAATTTTGACGTACGGAAACGCCACCAACCTTGCGAAAATCGTACGATCGATCAAGGTCTTCTTGACTGGTTAGTCAAAAGTCGATTGATTGTGCAGTATTTGCGGTTTTACACTGCCCATCAACTGTACGAATATCGGCGGATATTCGTAAGGTGTATGGGCAGCTTTAGCCCATTGTTCTAGGTTTTCTGTAAAATGCACTACAAACAAAAGTAGTCATCGTGTACGTCTCTGTTGCTTTCCCATCTTTCAAACAATGATGTTGTATGGGAGGGCAAGGATAGCAGACCTAAGTGACCGTAAGGTGATGTAGCCACCAGGCTTGGAGCTACACATCCTGGTACCTATCCGTAGTGTTGGTTTTAAGGGGGGGGGGCGATAATATTGGTAGTTTTGCCCCCACAATAAGTGTCTACACCTGTAGATTTGTTTTCATATATGTAGAGAACATGGAACAGCAAAAAGAATTATGTCCTGCAAAACGCAAATTAACACAACACACAATTATTAATATTTAAAACCATGAAGGTGACATATTGATAATTAGTCAACCAAGCTACCCCAATGTACATTTTAAAACTAGATTAATCCTACAGTTCCGCTTTAAGGCGGTCTGGACAGATATGTGTTGACAAGTGTAAAGCCCGCCATATACTGCTCAAATTTCTGTCAACTGCTGCTGATTCGGCTGAAATTCAAGCCGCGTGAAGTCCTTCCCGGCTTGACAAAAGTCAGAAAATTCTATCGACTTTTGTCAAAGGCCAAGGACACATTGTGGGCTGAACAGATACTGCATCCAATCAACTGTGGTCACCGTTTGGGTATTCTGACAGCAGGCATGGATGAAGGAATCTGTCAGATTTCTCCAAGTGTATGGCCAGCTTAAGAGTCATATGTTTTCTTTTGTAACTATGTCTGCAGCCACGGGTTCACTGTAAAGGCCTCACTCACCCGGCTTCTGTCCCAGGAAGCTCATGCTGTGATAAGCCTTCTCAGCAGCAGCCAAGTGTGCCAGGGCTGCAAGCATGGATGACCAAGACGCCCCGGCGTTCTTGTTAGCTTCTTTCTCCTTCTCCACATTGTCCTTGGCCTTGTCATAGGAGAAGTGACCAAGGTGGGAGAAGAAGGTCTGCAGTACATTCTGTTCTACAGTCACCGCTTGGCTCATTAGCGGTATCATCACCGAGCTCGTCATCAGGAACAGCGGCTCTTCGTCATCGTCCTCCTCCAGCTCCGTGGCCGCCGCAGCATCGCCCGCTTCCTGGGGCACCACCATACAGGGAACCGTCACTGGGGGGTGGTCAGCTCAGGACCCGCTACTCCAGAGGACGTACACTCACGGGAGGACACGTTTGATGGCAGACTGTTTACTTGGCACACGTGACTACGCAGGAAGTGTGGAAGACTTTTTTTTTCAAACAGCTTTATAGACAAGAACGTTAGCACAACGTACACACACACAACGTGCACAGCTTGGAGGGAATTCTGGTTTGAAGAAATCCAAACGTCTAGTTTTTAAGGGAATTTAAAAACGGCATATTATTTTCCCGAGACAAACTCTCACATATTTCTGTGCAGTCAATGACAGCAGAATGGGGTCCTAGGCCTGGCAGTAGATTTGCTCCCACGCCACTTTCATTCACAATGATAAGAATTTGTAATAGGCATCTATCAATTCTGTTGCACAGGATGGTAACACTAAACAGAAGCAGTGGTACAGATTGTGCGACATATTTACTACAAGGTTAAAGCTTGAGTCATAAATTCCTTCCTCAGCTGTTCTAAATTCCCAGATTCCATCCAGTAAATGGAATTCTTTGTCCTTGATTTTAGAATTGCCACAAAAAGATGACAGTACAATACAATAGTGTTTCATTTTACTTCTCAGCAGCCAAATGAAAAGTTGTGTAGGGAGGTGAGGGTAGGAGCGACATTTCTGATCCAGCTCAGGTAGTATTTAAATACTGAATGCTGCAAATACGCATACATCAGCAACAGGAAGGAAGGCTAGTCTAAAGGTGGCCATACACTTTACAACCATCGCAAGACCTTTTCCAGCTTGCTTGTTCGATGGAAGACGTGCGACCGTACAGTAGAAACGGTCGCATGCCTTCCATACACTGTACGATCGCGGGATTTCCCGCGATTCTCGTACGAGAATCGTACAGTGTATGGGCACCTTTAGCCTTTAGTGCAGGGGTCTCAAAACACCAGTACCATCTGGCCTGTAGTTACACGGTCTGCATTTCTGTCAGATGCAGACTGCATAGCTGCTCCTAGCTCCTCACTAGCAATCACTAGCTCCTTTCGGACACAGCTCTGAGTTCTGACCGAAAGGAAGGATTAGTAAGGTATGCACCAGACCTTACTAATCAACCACTGGATCAGCAGGGATTGTGCATGTGATGGGGCCCTTCTATTTGCGGGGGACGAGAGGGGGGGGGATTATTCTGTGTGTGTGTTTGGGGGGGATGTATTTCTCTATGTGTGTTTGTGTATTCATCCTTTCATACCTGTATGAATGGATTAGGGAACTTGCGTTTTCCTGCAGCAGGAATCCCTTATGTGGCGTTTACAAGCGGCAGCTGTCACCCATTCAAGGTAATGATCATGCAATCATATGTGATATGATTACATGCACTTAGGAATCAATCACTATCCCTGGATGCACGATCAATGCCTCATGGGATAGTGACTGTTTTCTAACTGCATGTAATCATATCATATATAATAATATATGCTATAGCTCAGGCACTGTGCCACATGACTGTAGCAATGTGTTGTTCAGTAGCATTTTTTTTGGGGGGGGGGGCTGTGATTTCTAGTTACGCTCCTGATTTAAAATTATAGGATTGTTGTATTCACTGTAAAAATCCTTATTTTGTTAAAAATTTATTGAAAGTGAAAAAGGTCACATGGGAGCGAAACAGCAAAGTATAGACAGGAAAAACTCATCTACCTGATCCAACCAGAAGGGTGGAACAAAACAATCGTGCAAATGGTAGAACTCTGAGAACATGTGAATAGAAAGCCAAGTAGCAGAAGCACTCACAGTAGAGTATACCCTGACAGGAAAGGGAGGAACCTGATCCTTGAGATTATTAACTTGAAAGATCATCAGCCACCTAGAGATGGTGGAATTAATAGGTAGTGCACACTTATAAGGTCTATGACGGATGACAAAAAAGGGAATTAGTCTTCCTGAAGAAGCTCCTACAGCCTAAACCACATGCAGACAATGGAGCAAAATTTCCTTTTGTATAACTGGAGCCTGACAAAAGGGTGAAAGAACAATGTCCTGATTGAGGTGAAAAAAAAGTGGAAAGGAAAGAAGGAAGTCCCTATGCAAAACCAGAAAGGGTTCCTTGCAGGATAACTCTGCCAAGTTTAGGCACTCGCCTCGCAGAGGTAATGGACACACAGAAAAGAAAAACACCTTGTGGACAAGAGTATAGGGAAGGGAGTGTGCTACTGGGTTCAAATGGTCGTTTCTGAAGCACAAAGTGAACCATTTTCAGATCTTGTGATAAGTAGACTTCCTAGCTTTTAGCATCATAGGAATCACAAATTCAGATGCCCCTTGTCCCTCAGAACCTGGGCTTTATCAACCATGCCTTTAATGCCAGCGATCACAAAGCAGTATAACAAATTGGTCCTTGGGACAGAAGGTCAGGACAATCCACTAGGATCCCAGAGTCTTGCCAGGTTGACGTACCACATCCACTTGGACCAGTCTGGAGCAATGAGGATCATGAGAATGTCCTCTCCTAATCGTGCAGAGCAGAAGAGGAAAACATTTCAGGGGAGGAAAGGCATTGATCAGGGTGTACCAATCCTATGGAGCCAAAAGAGCATCCACCACTTCTACTAGAGCAGTGGTTCTCAACTCGTGGGTCGCGACCCAAAAGTGAATCCTTCAACCAGGAGGTCCACATCCTGCAAGGGATCAACTACAGTAGCAGTCGCAATTTTTTGACCTGTCAGACATGGTTTGACAAAGTGAGGTCACAGCCAAAATCAGATGAAGAGCCACTTTTTTTTAGACCACTTTTGCATAACATTCACATAATGGATACAAGGCTAATAGGTGCTTAGAGGGAGCAAACAGCGTATCAGGATGCTTCCAGTCTCCATACAGAAGTAATTGGGAAAGAGAGTCTTTACAGCCTTAGGCCTTTTTAAATAATCCAAGACTTGAAACGGCAATGGTAGAAGCAATAGGCTGATTCTCTCATTTCAAAGCGGTGTGCACCGCATCAATTCGAGACTAAATAGTCTCCTTAATTTGGGAAAAGATGTATACTGACTCAAAAGTAAGCTCACCTGTCAAGGACTGAAGCGAAGGCCCAGGGCAAGTTAGATATAGAATGCCTGCTGGAGCACACTTGCTTGGATCCATGCAGAACCCAGTGCTTGAAGGTCACTGCCAGGCTATCTCTATAATGTCCAGCATGGCGTGGACACAGACAACCATTCCGTTCAGCTGCAATCAAAGAGCCAAAGCTCCAGCAGTAATGCAAAATGTCTTGATTAAAGGGAGAAAAAAAATACGTTTAGGAAGTGCTGGCAAGAAAAATTGCTGTGTAGCTCTGGCCCATGCCGGTGACTGCAGGCTGTTATTAGTAAGATATTAAAAATGTGTAGCCCTAGCCTAACCCCAAGTACTAATGACTCTGGATCAGCATGGCAGCAAGGAGCGATTAGCATTTTTAAAACTCCAAAGACATGCTGGAAGGTTAATTGGCACCTCTCTAAGTTGGCCCTCTATGTATGTATGTATGTATGTGAGATAGGGACCGTAGATTGTAAGCTCCTTGAGGGTAGGGACTGATGTGAATGTGCAACTATGTAAAAGTGCTGCATAAATTGTCGGCGCTATATAAATAACTGTAACAAATAAAATATAAGAAACAGGAAACGAAGGCAGCTTTATTTATTTTTTTAGAATGGGTTGGTTGAAGCCAGTTCAGTCTTGAACTTGCTTCAGCAGTTTATATACCTGTATACATTACGTAGCAGTTATTTACTTATCTGTAATTTAACCCTTTCAAACATTCGGGATTTTGAATCCATACGTAAAGCACATGGTATGGACACGAGTAGCAATTGTGATAAAATAGGTGTTACATTTGTCCCCATTCACATAAGCTATAGATATTTATTTTAAAAAATGGCTCTTGCAGCTTAAACTTTTATTTGGGTTAGGGTTGAAGGCTTAACATTTCTACTTATATCTTTCTTTGCAGTTAGGAGAGTCTGTGAGGGGTCCGAGGTGGCTTCTTCATTGTAGGTGAATGAAATGATGGGGAACACAATCCTCAAATTTCAGTCCTAGGCCTTTCCATTAGGACAGAGCTCCGTGAAATAAGCCATCTTTTTCTTTATGCGGTGTGAGTAGGATAAGACAGAGTTCTCAATTTTTACTGCACAAGTGGAAATGCACTTTAAAACAAAACAAAGCTTCCTGGAGGTGTAATCCAACTTAACCCCTTAGCGACTAGTGGCGTACATAGTAGGTCATTGGCAGCAGGCCTGTTTAAATATACTGTTAACATTTGTAGAACCGGCTGTCTGCTTTACGATAGACGTGATTCTGGCAGCTCAACAGCTGTCAGATCGCTTCTACGGGCCGGTTAAGTGCCTGCCCCTCCGTAGTATTAACCCGGGCTCCACTGTCACTCCTGCAGACCCAGCATCTCTGGCATTGGTGGGAAGCTGGGGAGAAGCGCGGCGAACGTCTGTTCACTGATTTCCTCGCCGTTCTGAGACCGGGAGTGACGCATATTGCATCACTTCCGGTCCCTGAGGCATCATTGCTGGGCTCCTGAAGTCGAGCAATAAGCGATTGAAGTGCGATCTGCACTTCAATAGCGTATTTAAAGTGGAAATGTGACACTAGGAGTGTTTTGGACCTCCAGTATCACCTTAAAAGGGTACCTGTCACCACCAATATGCTATCACACGGGAGGCTTGTAAGCTCCCCTAAGTGATACAAAACTTTTTTTTTTAAATTGCCATCTCTTTTTTTTTTTTACTTTAACCACTTCAAGACCAGGTGTTTAGACCCCCCTTCCTGGCCAGGCCATTTTTCAGTATTCAGCGCTGCGGTACTTTGACTGACGTTTATTCCACGAGCGGCGCGTCTAAAGACGCCCGCTCAGATCTAGAGAGCTCGGGCCGGCCGTTTTTTTACTATGGCCGGCCCGGAGGTGGTTAAGTCGCCCACAAGCATGCGCTTATAAACACCAGTCGACGTGCTACACATGCTGGGTGTTGCCGCACATGCTAGAGAGCAATAATTCTAGGGCCAATATTTATGTGCATTTCTAAATTGATGACTTGTAGGGGTTCTTAAAAGCGTCGTCCATGGACTTTTTGGGGCACTGAAATTTGTCAGTTTCACATACGCACACAATTTTTAACCCGGGCATGTTTGGCATCTAC